TATATATATTGTATATATATATATATATACACATACACACATATACATAACAGTTGTACTATCGAATGTAATATTATAACATTAATGTTATGTTACTGTCAGTTGGTGTTTATTAAGAAATTAGTTAAAAATAAAAATATTATTGGTTAAATGGAACTCCCTATTTTTCATTACAAATTCTTTTTAATTCTTACCTTTTCAAAACACTGTAATAAAATATCTTTTCATTAAATACTTTTCGAGTTATAAAACTTGAAAGTTACAATACAGTCGACATTAGTATTACCCAAGGTATTGTTCGACAACTAAATCCTCTTAAATATTGTTCAGGATCAAGACCATTAAAAATTGTATCTCTTATTTTCATTTTAACATAAAAATGAATTTTCAGTGCAAAAATAAAATAAGAGGTACAACCTCCAATGATCTTAATCTTGTTAAAAACGTTATCTAAGTCATATGAATAAAAAATCAATGTTTGATATGTTATATAAGTAAATATTGCTCTTAAGTAAGAATATAATAAATTATCAAAAAATATTAAGACATTTATTTACATTAAATACTTTTATACAAATGTAATTTCAATTCGTGTAATTTATTAATCGACAGTTATTAATAAGACAGTTGTCAATAAAAAATTAAATCTTAATTTATTGTAAATATTTTTTACTTAATATATTATAATTGCATCAAATAAATACCGCATATTGATATTACGTATTGATATCAATACATAGCATTTAAAACGGATACATACGATGCTGACGCCTTCATAATCTAAACAAAAATACAAGTTAAGAAATTAGAGATACATATATATATAATAGTAGATTAAAAAACAATAAGCAAAATATGTATAAAATTATTTTGTGATAATTAAATATTCAAAATATTAAAGAAATTACACGAGTAAATGTTTCTAATGACATATCCATCATTTTTCCTGCCGTAATCGCCAGTCGTTTTTGAGACCTCATTATTATAAATACTATAATTTTATTTTTATTTGACGGCATATCGTACCACATTGATTCATATATTGCGTTGGCGATTGATTTACCCTAAAAATAATGCAAATGCGACACTTTTTATACTTAATTGTTTAATTTACTTCACAGTAGTTTATCTAATATTATTGCCGATATTAAAAAATTGTTACATAAATTTAAAAATATTAAAAGAAGTAAAGAAATTATAGCAGAAAAATAATAAAATCATATTAAATTTATAATACTATATTTGTGTTGAAACATCACGCTGCTATACATTGAAGAAATATTATATGCAATAAAAAATATTTTTATTAAAAAATTGATTCTTAAATGATATTTTGAATGTTGCCAAATATTAAATGTTTTTTTTTTTGTTAAAAACAACATTGTATTTTTATCATTATGTCAATGTAATTAAGAGCTTCTGTATAGATGATTTACTATGTGAATATTTACCTTTAAACTAAGATATTCTCCAGCAAAGCAAATGACAAAGGCTTCAATCATTATAACGAAGTAACCAGAAACAGTTTTCACTAACACGAAAATCCCAGTTTCGTTATAAATAGACTAATTCAACGAATTATAAAAAGAAAAATAAATATATATAATCAATCATTGGACGTGTATATTTTAATACTTACAATTATGATAATGAATCCTAAACAGCAAATAACTAACGTATTCCAAATAACTTGCATTAATGCAATAAAGGAGAAAAGTGTTTCAATATTGTTAGAAAATATAATAATTTTATTATGCTTCTCAATCAGCAATCCAAAAAAAGACTCGAAAGATCCATGAAGAAGAGATCCCTTAGAAATATTTCTAAATTTATGACACATTATATCAATTTGTCCGCTTATATGAAGTACCTAAAATACACTTACATTCTCTCACAAAAAATCATAATTATTATAAAGTAAAGAGATTTTTTTGAAGAAAATATTTCAAATATAACAATTTGATAAAAATATTAAAATAATATTATTATGCAATATACATTTATAATAATTACAAACAAATTTATCGTGTAGACATTATTGTAAAATTTTTCTAATATTGACATTAATACTTTAAAATGTTTTACACAATAATATAACAGTTCGTCAACAAAATTATATAATATATATAAAGAAAAATTTTAATATGAATATGCTCACAATTATGCACAATAATACATAATATACATTAAAAAATACATATACATATACGAATATGCGTTACCAAAGTCAACATTAATCCGTTTAAAATAGCGATTGTGCATGCGTGTATTGCCACATGTAAAAATAATGTTACAACGAGAAACTCAAACGTCGGCGATTGTTGAGTTTCAAAAGGAAATTGTATTTTTATAGGAAGCTGCCGTAAAGTATCATTTTGATTTTCAGTAAAAAATACGAAACGAATTACGTAGTCGCCTAAGAGATAAAGTATTGCGACGATCGCATTAACACTCAGTAAAATGTTAGACGTAAAACGTGCTACATTTGCTTTGATTGTCATCAAATACAAATGCTTATCCTCATTGATGTACTCGCGCCAATCATTATCCATAGCAGCCAGAATTTTATGAAAAACTCTGCAATATGTTACTCTAATTTGTGATGTTTCAAATAGTACATTATCACATATCTACGTATGTTTCACATCATATTTTCTTTTATGAAACCAGGGAAAAAATCTTTCATATATAATTATTTACAATTATATATAAAATATGTCCAGATATTTAACATTTTTTCCCAATCAATATTGTATATATTCAATATTTGAAATATAATTAATAAGATTTAAATTAATAATCACTTCTACTTAGAAAAAATCCACTTAGAGAACAAATGTTAAGAAATTGAAGGAGCATATTGTTTTTCTTGATTATAGTTGTAGATTTGCAGAACATAAAGTTACATAATACATGTCTTACCGACGATGTGTCCATAAACTGGTCAATTTAAATAACGTCAAACTGTAATCTAAAGCCACAATTAGACCATCAACAAGATTTGATAACTCGCTCATCTTTAAGTGACCAAATATGTACAAATATTGAAAGTATTGTATAATCAGCATGCTCAACATAAAAGTCAGCCAATGAATGGTAGAATATGAATCACCTGGCCACATGCCAAGAAATCGGAGACCAACTTTTAATGCTGGACTAATACTAGATGTGATCATTTGTTAAAGATTTTAAAAACGTGAAGAAATAAAGATTAATTTTGTTAAAAACGGCACATTTGTTCTGTACTATAGTTGAGAAGGAAATGAGAGAGCATTGTCCATTTCTCCAAGTATATCCCCATACGATGCGTCCCCACTCAATAAATATGGATCAATCGCTATTATACGTACAGTATGACGATGAAACAAAGAGTTTATAATTTTTTCATACTATAATTCCATAAACAATTTAATAACGTATAATACTTTGACCGTAAAGTAATAAAGATATTGTACAGCTAAGATAATACAAAAAAAAAGATTATTTACTGCGAGACCGTTATCTTTTTTGCATTTTTTTTTCTTTAAAATGCAAAATTATAAGCAAGAAAGAAATGTCCAGATGTTCATCATAATCTCTACCTCTCATGAAGGTATTATTAAGTGCATGACATGGTACTTACATGTATTAGGTATTCCAAGCAAATGGAAATAAATTGTGTTTATTTGATCTTCCAGCCTTTAAAGAAATATGAGAAAACAACAAAACGCTGACTGAATATGATTAATAATTTCCACTAATAATTCAAAAAATATTCGCGTCAAACTTGCATATTGAACAAATTGCAATTGGAAATAATATAGACGTTTAGTTACAAATAATCCAATAAAGTACAAATTAAATATCTTGTAATAAAAAGTTATCGATTATAAAGTTAAAGTAGCCTGTACTACTGTAATCTGCATACTAATGCAAGCTTATTTTGTTAAATAAGAATGAACGATATAATAATAATAATAATAATAATAATATACGAAATATAAAAGATTATTTGCATTTACATTAATAACTATTTTCTTAAATGCAATTTAAATATGTTATTTATTAACTAATAATTAATAAGTAACAGACATCAGCTTAATATGATAATGTAACTTCTAATTTATTACAAATTTTTTAAATCTATTTTAAATTAATGGTATAATTTCAGTAGATAGAGATCGTACTATTTTGTTGATGTCAATACATAGCAATTAAAACAGATATGTATGATGCTGACGCCTTCATAATCTAAAAAATTCAAATAAAAAAATTAAACTGGATCTACAATATTTATTATATTTACACATAATAGATACATAGATCAATATAAATTAAAAAATAACTATACAATACATGGACAATAAGAACATATAGTGCGGAAATTGATGCGCGAATTTCTATATAATTACAAAAATTTTTTACATAAAATATAAATAACAATATTATCTATACCATAATAACAATATTGTTATTTATATGCTCTTATGTCCATGTATTGTATTATTATTTTTTTGAGAGTCCGATTAATATTTATATTTTTAAAATAAATAAAATAAAATAAAATTAATTAATCATCAGACATTTAAAAAATTAAAAGATTACAATCGTAAAAGTTTCAAATGACATATTCATCATTTTCCCTGCCGTAATCGCCAGTCGCTTTTGTGATCTCATTATTATAAATACTATAATTTTACTGTGACTTGACGGCATATTATACCACATCGTTCCATATGTTGCACTAGCAATTAATTTGCCCTAAAATGCAAATACAACTAATCCTTTGTAATTAATTTTGACATAAAAAAATTTTCTATCGTCTATATTGTGAAAACATTATAGCCAAAATATCCGAAATGTTTTAATAATATCATTTTTACTTTTATTTTATTTAAAAAAAAGCTTTATAATAAATAATTAGCTGATAAACATTTTATTATTTTAGACTTTTATTATAACAGATACGAATTGTCATTATCTTAAAAAATATATGTCACATACTACAAAATAAAATTTTCTAAAATAAAAAACATTCTTATTTGAGAAATCAATCGTTTTTTAATAATGTTTTAAGTACGTTAAAATTATAATATTTTATATTTGTATTACAAATGTCTATTATAATATTCATTATGATATAATTATGTTATATATTAAAATATATATTTATATATTTTATGGTATATTTACTGATAACTATTCTTGCTTACCTTATAACTAAGATATTCTCCGACAAAACAAATAATGAAAGCTTCTAGCGTTATGGCAAGATAAGCAAAAACAGCTTTCATTAATGCAAAAACACCAGTTTTATTATGAATAGACTATATTATTAACAAAAATAAGTGAAAAATATGATAAAAATCACAACATTGTACAAATATTACTATAGTACTTACCATTATGAAAGCAAATCCTAGACAACAAATAACTAAGGTATTCCAAACAACTTGCATTAATGCGATAAAAGAGAAGAGCTGTTCCATGTTATCGGAAAATGAAATGACTCTTTTGTGTTTCTCGACCAGCATTCCCATGGAAGATCCATAACAAAGATTATTCTTAGAAAAATTTTTCAATTCTTCACAAATAATATCAATTTGTCCACTTATATGGAGTGCCTTAAATATTTACAAAAATTACTTGCATATAAAAAATTTTTTCTATTTTAAATACTTCTTATATAAAAATTCAATAAATATTGTAATCTTATATAAAAATTCAATAAATATATAATAAATTTTATTTATCCTCAAAAATATTCAATATGACATTAATTATATTTTAAAGATATTATACTACAGAAATGCATGTATTTGATTTATATCATATAAAGTAAAATTATGCAAATTGCTTCATGAAAAATTTTCATGCAATAACGCTCATAAATCGCTTCGTTGTATAAAAAATTAAAAATAAGAAATATACAATATAAGTTACCAAAGAAAAGATCAATCCATTTAGAATAGTGTTCGTCCATACTTGTAATATTGTATGTAAAAATATTATTACAGCAATAAATTCAAATAGAGGCGATTGTTGGATTTTAAACGGAAATTGTATTTTTATAGGAAGTTGCCGTACAGTATTATTATAATTTTCATTTAGAAATACGGAACGAATTACGTAATCGCCTAAGAGATAAATTACTGTAATAATTGCATTACAACTTAATAAAGCGTTAGAAAAGAAATGCGCTATATTAGCTTTAGTTGTCATCGTATACAAATGTTGGTCAATGTTGATGCACTCGTGCCAGTTATTATCCATATCTTTCAAAATTTTATGAAGGACTCTATAATATATATACATTACTTTAACATATTATTGTCTTTAATCAGATGTTTTAGATATGAATAATATTTATTTTCTCTTCAATTAATGCTGTATACTTCAATGTTTGATTTAAAATTCTAAATAATAAGGTGACATTTTAATGATGACTTATTATTATTGATGACATTAAAGAAAGTTCCAGTTAGAAAAAATTAGATCATTATGTTAGGAAATTGAAAAACAAATTTATTTTTCGAATATATCTATTAAATAAAACTAAAATATTATACAGTATACTATAGTATCTTACCGACGATGTGCCCATAGACCAGTCAATTTAAAAAACGTCAAACTGTAATCCAGAGTAATAATCGAACTGTCAATAAGATTTGATAATTCGCTGATCTTCAGATGATCAAAAATGTACAAATACTGGAAGTACTGTATAATCAGCATACTTGACATAAAACCTAAGCAATAAATGGTAGCATACGGCACACTCGGCCA